CAGGGAGCCCGATGCGGGATTCGATCCCGGGACTCCAGGATCATGACCTGAGCCGAAGGCAGTCGCTTAACCAACTGAGCCACCCAGGCGCCCTCTGCCAAGCATTTTTTAAATATTTTAAAGTTAGGCCTCAATGTGTGGATTTGCTGCGCCTCTCACAATGTCAGAAGATCTGGCCACAGTGGGTCTGGATACTGGCCAGACAGGTGGAAGGACAGGTTGAGATCCCACATCCCAGCCTCGGCCACCCCAGCCCCACCTCCCGAAGCCTCGCTTGTGGCCACCGTCTGTCAGCGCCTGTTGGCCATGGAGTTTGCTGCTCCTGATCTAAAACCAGCTCCCCTTCGTGGCAGCCACACAGCCGGGACATCAACGAGGCCCTGGCCTCCCGTTGCCCAGGGTAGGGCAAGTGGGCTGGGACGGGCCGGGCTGGCTGGCCACATCCACGGACGGTCTGGGGACTGGAGGTAGCGCTGCCCCACGTCCGTCCCTGGGGGTGGGCTGTGCACATCCACCGAGACACCCCTCCTCTCCGCAGACATGAGGTCGGCGCCAGAAGGAGGCAGTGCCCGCAGTAGCCGGTCCATCAAGAAAGAGGACGACTCATCTCAGTCGTCCACCTGCGTGGTGGACACCACCACCCAAGGGTGCACGGAGGAGGCCGCCGCCTGGCGAGGTCTGTGCTCCAACCTGGGGGTGGAAGGCAGGGGGGCGTGGGGGCCGCAGGGCTGCAGCCCCCCTCCCCTCCTGGTCTGTCTGGGACCCTGAGAGAAAAAGCCCTCCAGGCTCTTGAGTGGCGAAAGACAGTGAGTTAACCCGCCCAGCACCTTCTGGGTCCAGCCACCCCTCGGCAGACAGCAGCCCATCCTCGGATCAGGGTCTGGATCCGCTGCCGCACCCCGAGTACCCCAGAGCCCCGTGTGGGCTCCTGTCGCTAGCACAGACGCAGAGCGCTTCAGCCCCCACGCAGGGTCCCCAGGGGACGCCAGCCGGGAGCGCCGCAGGGCAGGGAGTGACATCAGATCCTGGTTCTTTGAAGCGCCGGGCACCCAGTGGGCATGCAGCAGTCAGCCCGGGGGAGCCCGGGGGACCCGTGTGTGGAGAAGATGGATGGACAGGGGTGCGCAGATGGTTTTGAGCTGACCGGAAATAGGTGCTTCCCCCACATCCGGCTGGTCTGGGGTGTGACCCAGCAGCCGCAAGACCCAGAGCACAGACTTGGGGCCGGGAACCCCAGCCTGGAGCCTGGGCGGGGTACTCCTCACTCCCCTAGAGCCCTGTTCCCTGTCTATGCAGTGGGAGTCGCACTGCTGACTCCTCGCCAGGGTACAGTACAGGGCACCCTCACCCAGGACCTGCCTGGTAGCGCGGGCTCGGGAAATGAGGCGCCTCTGGGGAGGCAGGACTTGACCAAGTGACCCCAGGCGCAGGGGTCTTCCTGGCCTCTGGGCCCCACAGCAGCATCTCTGGGAGGGCTGGGCCGGTGGTCCGCTACACGGCGACCCCGCCACCCACAGGTCCTTCTTCTGACCTTTGCCCTCTGACTGTGTCTCTTCACTGTCTCTCTCAAGGTCGTTTCAGGCCCTCCCTGGTCCGGGGCCTCCTGGCTGTGAGCTTGGCCGCCAACGTGCTCTTCACCTCGGCCTACCTGTACCAGGTCCTGCGCTGACCTGCGGTCCGCGGCCTCCCAGCGCCCAGAGGGGCTCGGAGGCGCCCAGGTGCATGCTGCTCCCACCACTGCCGGCCTCGGAGCCCCCCAAGGGGCTGCCTCCGCTGTCCTCTCCAGGGCCCTTGACCTCGCTGGGCCAGTCCTGTCCTAGGGATCCCTCCTCCTCACCTAACAGGCCGCAGGGCTGAGCGTGGTCCGTGAGGTCACTCTCCTCCCTGCCTGTCTCCTCAGCTGACATCACTTGTGTTTGGTGCTGACCCTGATCCCGAAGCCAGGGATCCCCGAGGGGCGGCAGGGCCCTGGGGCCCCCTCCCCCACTGCCCAGCCCGCCGGGCAGGAGGACCACTACTACTGTAAGTGCAGCAGGAGCTGGCTGCCTCCCGACGCTGCGCTGCGGGCCGGGACCACGTCTCTGTACTGTGCTCTGATCCCACGCAGCCGCCTCAGGTTCCGTGGGGAGGAGGGAGCGACGGTCCCTGTGTCACTCCTCCTCAGTCCTGCCCGGGGAAGAACAGAGCCCTGGGGCAGGCCCCCTCAGGACGGGCATCCCCTGCCCCTGTCTTGCCCTGTCCTATCAGCTCTAGGCCCGGCCTGCCCTCTGGCTTTTCTGGCTGGGCAGGTGGGTGCCCGGGGTCCCCAACCCAGGGCCCCTCAGAGTTCTAGTGTAAGCACCTCCGCCCACCCCCGCCAGCCTCCCTGCTGCCCTCTCGTGCCCCCATTTTATTACCTTTAGTGACCTTCCCAGGCAGCAGCCCCGTGACACTGAGAACACTACCCAGGGCCCACCCCACCTCCCTTCCAGGCCTGCGCTTCTGGGCCCCTCCTCCATGCACTGCCCACAGGGGCCTCGCTTGAGCCCTCAGCCTGCATCGCCCTGCAGGGCAGGCCCCGGACAGCCTGCGGGTCTCTGAGGAGACCGGACCCCGCCCCTGCCCTGCCACCAACCTGGCCCCTTTTGGCCCCCGAGGCCCTCCTTCCTTCCTCCCTTTTGTGGTACTGTCACTGTGGGCTCAGTGTGACCTCGGTGTCCAGGCCACCTCGGCTGGCTTTCTCTCCCACCCCACTCCCCTCAGGCCCTGCCGCTGCCATGCCGACTGCTACCACAGATTTGCCCCCCACCCCTGCCTTTGTGCCGGGGTCCCGTCCTGCCCCCGAGCGGAGGAAGGGGGGCCCTTGGTCTGGCGCAGGGACACACACCCCCCCCCGCCGTGCTGTGAGGAATGAGTGTGTGTGTGCCTGTGGCCCTCAGAGTCCCCCCGCCCCCGCTGCCCTGGGCCTGGGCCGCGTGTGTGTCCTGCAGGTGCCCGCGCCCCTTGGGGAGGGCCTGGCGGTCTTGGTGAATTCTGAGACTGCCTGCTGGGAGGGTGGTGGTCATGAGGGCAGGAGGAAGGGTCTTTACCATTCAGGGATAAAGTTGAGTTTTATTTTTCTATACATTGTTGCCAGGTAAGGCATTCTGCGGGTCAGCAGGATGCCCTCAGTTCTCCCTGCCAGGGAGCTTTCGTTTTTTTAAGCCTTGGGTGCTTTTTTAGTAATTTTTTTTACCATGTGGGGAAGGAGTTGCTCTGACTTCCCCCTCTCTCCTCTTCCCCCCACTCCTGTCCTGAGAGCTCTTTTCCTGCCCGGTCTCCCACCCCAGCACCTGGGGCCTGGGGGGCCAGGGGCCGCACCAGGACCCCGAGTCCCACTGCCAGAAATGATGCCAACATGGAGGTGGTGCTTTGGGCCTCCGTTTGTAGAGTGGGCATGCGTGTCAAGTTTTTTAATTTTGTTTTTTTGCCTCACAAAGCCGAACTCCATTCCCGAATACCCTTCCTCTGTGGCTCTGAGGAAGCCCCAACACAGAGTGCCCTCCCCTCTCCTCTCGCCCCTCCTGGCACCCCGCAGGGGCAGGGGAGAGGCAGAGTGGGGAGGGGGGCCTTACTTATGTTTTCTTTCAAACAAAAAACACAACCTTATTTTTCTTTACAAAAGCAAAAAAGGAAACCAAAAAAGATACCAACCTTTGAACTATATACCTCAGTCCGTCTGGTCTTCATTCTGTTCCCTCGGGCGGCTCAGGCCTGCGGGAGTGAGGAGGGGTCCTGGATCTCAGCCCCGCAGCCAGTGAGAAGTGATTTCTCTCCTTTCTTCAATATGGAGTTGAGAGTGGGGTCCTGGGGCTTACGGTGGCTGTCGCCGTGGCAAGTACAGCGTGACCGTGTCCCCAGGAGGTGAAGGGATTTGAACCAGGCGACCCGCTGCCTGGGGGCAGGGCGGGGGGGCGCTGGGCGGGCAGGGCAGACAGGAGTTTGCTGAGCACAGAGTCAAGGAGGGTGTCCTGGGGGACATGTGAGCGAGGGCTCAGGCAGAAAGCCTGTCCCAACCAGCAATCCCCAACCTGACCCCAGAGCTGCAGGGGCGACAGACCTTGCTTTCTCCTAAGCCCCCTCCCCTCTGCTGACCCTCCTGGCAGCTAGGCTCGGCGCTGACCCCCCACCCCCCTGAGGTGCGCAGACAGACACAGCCCAGCCTGGGTGAGGAGGCCAGGCTTCAGGCCTAGCGAGGGCAAGTGCAGGGTGGGTCCCGAGAAAGCGCTCGAAGGTGCCCCAATGGACCCACGCTGAGCCAGAAGCGCAGGGGTGGCCCTGGTCAGTGTGCCCTGGACGGGCTCTGTGCTTGGGCTGCCTGATGACTGTGTGGGGTCTGCATTTCTGTGGCCTCACTCGAACTCTGAAGGCGCAGGCGTGAGGGAGGCTGAAGCACAGCACGATGCAGAGGGGCAGCCCAGCAAATGTGAGCAAGGGGAGGCGGGTGGTGGGTGGGTGGTTCTCGGGGGCCATTCAGTAGGGTCCTGGGCTGGGCCAGTCACCCGTGGCGCCGAAGCTGGTCCTCTGCAATGGCAGGGCCAAGCTGCTCACAGGTGGAACCTCAAACAGACCGCAGAGCTCACTGACTTTGAGGGTGCTTGCCGTGCCCCCTGAGGCCATGACCAGCCTGCAAGGTGTGTGCGCAGGACAAGCCCGCGGCTCCCACAGGTCACCTGCGTGTCCCCTTGCCCCGGGCTCCCTGGGCCCTGTGCCATGAGGAGGGAACCAGACCGGCGGTGGGAGAGTCTGTCCCAATGTGTCGTTTCTGTGAGGCGTTCTCCTCCTTCCCTAGATGTGTTCATCTTCTACTAACGTCTTCTGTTGCTTTCTTATAAATGGGAAACACGTTCATTGTAGAAAACCTGGAAATACCAGTGAGCAAGAAAGAAAATCCCCCACAGTCCCACAACTAAAGTACTGGCCTACCCTTTTTTTCTCTACATCTGTATCTACATATGTATCTTTTTTACAAAAACGGGGTCTTTCTGTACCTAACATTTGTCACTTTGTTTCTCTCCTGATACCATCATAAAACTATTTCCATGCCATTAAGTGGGCTTTCTCCTCCCCCTAGAGGCCGCTCCGTGTGGCACTGCTGTGGTTGATCTTCCCTCACTGTTTTGTTTTGTTTTTTAAAGATTTTATTTATTTATTTGAGAGAGAGAGAGAGCACGAGAGGGGGGAGGGTCAGAGGGAGAAGCAGACTCCCTGCCGAGCAGGGAGCCCGACGCGGGACTCGATCCCGGGACTCCAGGATCATGACCTGAGCCGAAGGCAGTCGCTCAACCAACTGAGCCACCCAGGCGCCCGACCTTCCCTCACTGTTGAGCGCCTGGAAGACTCTCCCGTTCTCCCTGCATTTATAACTGAGGCCGCCATTCACCTCTCTGTAGGCTCCTATTTCTTCTGTATGTTAGGCTTTCCTTGGATAATTCTTGAGAGTCAAATCATTCTATCAAAGGTTTATCAAGATTCTAAAGCTTTCTATATGTGATGCCTGGTTGCATACTAGAAAGGACAGAAGATTATGTAGTTGTGGGACTTTGTGCTGGTTTTTTGTTCACTTGTTTTTGAAAAATCCAGAGCTGACTTTTGCTTTGCACACCTGACCCTGGCTACCAGACAGCTTATGTGGTGGGATGGGCAGATGATCAGGTTGGAGTTCTAGTAATATTTGTGAAGAGATGGTTTTCACCCCGGGCTCCAGGGGGAATCTGGGGAAGGATGAAGGGAGTGGGGGGGGTGCCTGGCACCACCCCCACTTCTCTGCTGGGCTCCACTTGAGTTTTATGTCAGGAAAAGTTCTGCTGATCTTTTTTTTTTTTTAAGATTTATTTATTAGAGAAAGAGAGAGAGCACATGAGAGGGGGGAGGGTCAGAGGGAGAAGCAGACCCCCCGCCGAGCAGGGAGCCCGATGCGGGACTCGATCCCGGGACTCCAGGATCATGACCTGAGCCGAAGGCAGTTGCTTAACCAACTGAGCCACCCAGGCGCCCCTCTGCTGATCTTTTAAAAAGTTTCAAAACCACTGTTAGCCTATCACCCCCTTACCAATAAGCCATGTGACACCGGGACCTCTCTGTGCAGCAGGAGCCAAAGGACCTAGTTGATCTGGCCCTTCTGGGAGGTGATCAGACGCAAGACCCCCCGTGAGGACGCATCTGGGGGGTACAGAGTGGTTCCACCTCTGCAAAATGTTTTTTATGGTAGCAGCTCTGAGGACATTTTGCTACCTGGGGCGGGGGGCTGGGGAACCTGGGGAAGGCTGGGGTATAGCCAGCTTGGCTTCGGGGCCAACGTGGGATTGTGCGCGCTTGCTGGCTTTGCGTTCTGGGTGCCCCCCACTCACTAGGTGGGAGAGTGGGGTCACAGTGAAGGAAGGGAGAGATCCGGGATTTCCACAGCACGTTCTGCACACACACAGCAGAAGGCTGTGAGATCACAGGACATAGTGTCTCGCAGTGCGAATAGTCAGGAGGCTGGAGAGGAAGCTCAAAGACAAGATAGAGATCACCGTACAGGGGTGGGGGGGGGGGGGTCAGTGCTTATGGAAAGGCCCAGGGGCGGGCTTTCAAGGAATTGAGAGTGTGGCAAGAGCCCAGGGAGGGAGGAGAGCAGGAGGTCCCCCACGAAGGATGCACTGGGGTTTTCGATTTCATCCTAAGAGCAAAGGGAATGCCGATCCTGCATTCAAGCAAGGGAGTGACAGGAGCAAATGTGCATTTTTTAGAAGGTCACTTGGCACAATATGGAGCCCGGGTTGGAAGAGCACAAGAATGAAAGGAGGGAGCCAGCAGGGGTGGCCGCCTGGTAGGGGGGAGAGCAGGTGCAGTGAGACCAGGAGGATGGAGGACACTGGTGGATTCCCGGGACAACCCACAGGACCCGGCGATTGGAGGTGGGGGCGGAGGGGTGTCCAGGTGGACCTCTGGGCTGTTGGCCTGCACAGTTGGCTGGATGGAAGGGCCCCTCCTAATCTAGGGAAACCAGGAGGGGGACAGGGCCGAGCACGGGTTCTGTGAAACTCAGCTTCGAGCTTTTGCGTTGGATGCTTTGGAGACAGCGGGTGGACACGTACCCCTGGGCGCCCTGCCCAGAGCCCTCCTCGGCTCACTGCGCAGCCGCGGGCACCACTCAGAGGCCGCCTGCTTTGAGAGACCTCTGTCTGGATCCCCCCGTGACTCTCCCTCAGCGTCCCGTCGCTTCCATTCAGTCCCAGCGGTGGCTGCCTCCCCTTTGGAAGGGAACTCCCACCGGGGCAGACCCCTCGGCTCATAGCTGGAGGCTCACGAAATACTGTTGAATGAACGAACGAGATGTCCACGAGGAAGCCAGCGTGCAGGTGTTTCCAGGTCCCAGCTCCGAGGAGAGGAGACAGGAGAGACACACGCCCCGAAGCCAGGCAAGAGTGCCAGAAGCTGGCTCATGGAACTGGAGCAGATGGGTGAGACCAGGTCCCCCGGGAGGCTTGAGGTCACGCATATTCCGTCTCCATAGGGGGCACATTCCTGTCCCCCTAGGGTTTGCGGTGCTGGGGGGCAAGGGGACACAGGATTAAAGCAACAGTCACAAAGAATGAACTACTGTCAGAACATCAGGTAGGACAGCAGAGGCCAGGAGGCACCCAAAGCCCCTCCCCACCCTGGAAATCCACCACCCTAGAAGGGAGGGGGGAGGGCTGTGTGAGGTGGGGGCAGGAGCAGAAGGGGGCGGGAGGCTGGTCTTAGGGATGGGGTCCTGACGGTTTGTAGCACTTGTGGTTGCAGAGGCCTGAGTGACACAAGCTTTGACCCCCTTCCCCTGAGCTGCACCTGCTTGCCAGAGGGTCCCCAGGCCATGAGGGTCAGTGGGGGTGTTTCAGGGTGGAAGCCCAGCTCCAGTCTCCTACTGGAGGTCACCGGGGAACTGGTCTGACTTCCTAGATCCATTCGGGAGAAGGTGCCTGTCACCCACATTCAGAGGTGAGGTACCTATGCTGGCTGGGGTTCAGAGAACGGGGAGTCTCTCAGGAGGAGGAAGGGGGGACAGGCATTTGCAAATGTCCTGCCCGGTCTGGCCACCAACCTGCTGTGGCCCTAACAAAGAGAAGGATGTCAGGCTGGATCTGGGGCTGTGGGGAGGGACCTCATGGGACAGTGGGTCTGCTGGCCGGCAGGTAGGCCCTCACAGAGGAGTGCAGGGGCAAAGGGATGGCCTCCCGGGGGCCCAAGGTCATGGCCTTGGCTGCCACCGCAGGGATGGACCTCAGCAGAAGCATGCAGACTGTGGTGACTGTGGGTGGAGCTGCTTGCTTTGGACCTGAAGCACAGAGCCAGGGACGAAGCCTCAGCTGACCCTTGGGGCATCTGTCCTGCCCCCGAAAGCCGAATAAGGACCTAATGTTAACAATGCTTAGAAGCTGCTCAGGGCCAGGTTTTCCACTCGGTGCAGGCTCTGGGGTTTGGGGGGGAACCTCCAAAAACTGACTGAGTTGTTGCTGCCCAGAAAAAGCACATAGGATATCAAAGACAGAGTCCCCAAGGGCCAGAAGAGGAGACACCTCTATTATACGCTGTTGGGTTGGCAGAGAGCAATGCTGGCTGTGACTCCCAGGGGTTTTTCTGCTGCACTCAGGGCTGAGACAGGGGGAAATTTACTGGGGTCTTTTCATTGTTACCATG